GTTGTTCCAGCAGGTGTGCACCAATGGAAAGCTTTGGACCTGCCTCACTTGGTTGATTTGGGCTTTATAACTAGGGGCTCCTGCAGAAGGACGACAGCAGCTCCAAGATTTTGGTGTTGTAGCTGTGACAGGGATCACTGTGTGAGCCATGCCTAAGGTCAAGCCCTAAGCTTCTGGGTAACTTTATTGGCATCAGTCAATTTACTGCCAGTTTACATCCCTGAAGGCAGCTGAGATCAGACTCTGGACGTCTGCCTATGGAATACAGCAGGGAACTGAGGAAACTGCGTTAAATATAGAATAACTTAGCAGCAAGTTCTGCTTATGTCATCTGAACTGGGGAGTAAGTCACTGGTGCAATCTGATAATTCATGACTAGCACATCTGCAAATTAATTACCAGGTTCCTCCTATGAAAGCAAAGGCAATGATGTCAGTCCCGTGAATCACCAGTTTTTATTCATGTTCCTAATATGCTCTTTCCAGCAATGAGTGCTGGACCAAAGCACAGTATCCACTTGGGAAACCAAATGAAGTGGAGGCCTGATTTTTCCCTACTCCAGGAGAGAGATGCGCTGAGGCCGATGGTGTGCAGAAACTGGATTATTGGTAAAAGCAAGGTTAATRGGAAATGCATAGTTAGATTTCCTGCTCTTGGGAATCTGAAGCATATTGTCTGTGTGTGTAGGCCGAAGGCAGCTTTCCTCTTAATATAGTTGTAGTTATTAAACTAAAAATAACTGTTCCAAAAAATGGGTTTTGAACCAATTTTGAACTCTGGCCTCAGGCATAACCAAGAAGAGCAGGGGAATGCACATCCTGCATTGTAACCTTTTCTGTTGCTGGCAGCCCTGACTGGAAGGTGAAAAGCATCACGTAGTCTACAACAAATGAGAATTACCTTTCTATATATGAGCTAAACGTTAAAAGAATCATTACAATGTTACCGTAGAAGTTGCACTGTTTGAAAACATCATCTTTTTCCTAGATTCTGTGCTCCTAAAACCTATGTTGCCCTTTCCATTCCTGCTCCTTGTGAACTCTTAGCAAGATTCCCGCTCAGAGCCTGTGCTTGCCCAAGGGGAAGGGTGGCATCGCTGAGCCCGTACCTGCTGCCCGCGCTGGAGCCGCGTGCCAGGCTCCTCTTGCACTGCTACGGGGGCAGTGTGGTCTCGTTTCCGTACTAGCCACTGTGACGGGCAAGATCACCCAGCCTGCGTTGTCGTCTTCTTTAAAAAATATCTTTATCTGCGTTCTTTGAGGTGTGTCTCTTTTTAAAAGATTTCTCCCCCAAGATGTTTAAATTCACTGTTGCCTGGTRTCTGAATCTGACACAGTCCAGCAGCAAGCAAGGAGTCACCGGGAGGCATGAAGGGAATAGGAGCAGAGCTGTGACTCAGAAGGCTGCCTCTGAGTCACGTCTCCCCAAGGCCTCTCTGCAGAACCCCTGGCAGGGTCTGGCTCTACCAAGCTCATTCTTTGCTGTCCCTCTTGGTCCCCACGGCTCTTTGCTCTGCCGTGATTGGCTTTGAAGGAACCGTCTCCTTTAGTTTTTCAGCAGCACCTTTCAGCTGCTATCTTCTTGGGCTTGTATTTGTTTGTCAAATATATGTGCCAGAAACGGAAAGGTTAGGTGGAAGCCTGATCTGAATCAACTAGAAAAGGGTATGTTTAATAGCCCCTAGCTTGGCTGGAGATAACTGAGGACAAGCCTGCAACAAAATTCCTCTCTCGACACATGTTAATTTAGTTAATTTTGTGGTCTCAGTACACACAGAGACTGTATAACAAGTGCTAAAAATACATAATTTCCTAATGGAATACTAAATTCAATTTTAATTAGTGTGTATTTGGATTAATATATTCATTACCCTCAAATTAAAGTATTTATGAAGGTTGTGTGTTTTTTCCCTGGGGACCTTGCTGCAGCTTGCACAACTCTTTTTATTCCCTTCACCAGGCATCCTGAGGGGGCTGTAAAAACCATGCTTCCAACTCCTGAGCATCTACAAAAGTTTTCTTAAGTGGAGTGTTAACGGCACATTATTTTCCATGGCCAGCATACTATTTTGCTTATATAAGTTTACTTTTTCAAAAAGGGAAAGGAAGTTAGGTGTTCTGTCCAGCGCACAGTGAAAGAAGGCCAGGTTCCTGGAGACACCTCGGGCAGTGATTGCCCAGGAATGTTTTCATCTGCAGTTGGGTGGATGATATGGATAACACAATGCTACCAGCAGGCAGCACAGGAAAATCCAAAGGTATCCCACTGTTTACTGAAGGCCGTATCCATCCATTATCTACCATTTGGACAATCTTGATTCCAAACTCGCATCTCTCTGGTTCTGCGGTTCCGCTCACTTGTGCTAATCACTTGCTCAGTAATGATGCCACGCAGCCAACCCTCGATAATCTCTTTGAATGTTCCTGAAATATTTTGATTCCCTAAGGAAAATTATAGGTGCATAGTTACAGATAATTATATCTAGACATCATAAGATGTGGGTTATAATTACTGTACGTTTCTTAATAACTGCATGGTAATACCTGAAGTTTGATATTTTGCTGTTGAAAGAYGAGCATTAAGAAATAAGGAGAAAATATCTTAATTACTACAAAAGTATCAATAGACTTTAGCAAGTATTTAGCATTTTGTTTTAAATTCCTGTCTGGGTCCATCCTGCTGTTAGAGCACATTTTAAAAGGACAACATATTTTGCTTACCTTGTCACATTAGATATATTAAAGGCAAGATACTATTACTTATCTGGTTTTCATTTTACTATGTAGAGTTATAGCTTTGTCTGTGTGTTATTTTGTACCTATGTGCTTAGGAAGTACCTTCTTTACTCTCATGAGAAGTGAGAGTAAAGTCAATTTGAGTGAAGAGTTTTTCTAAAAGGAATGTTATTTCAGGAATGTTATTTCAGTAGGTGAATACATGTTATTTCAGTAGGTGAATACATGTTTTTTGGTTTAGTTTTTGTTTGTTTGTTTGTTTGTTTTGTTTTTGAAAAGGGCTTGAGGTAACATGCTATAAAGCCATCCTGATTTCAGAAGATGTTCTACCTCAGGAGCTAACCTTTGTAGCCTTCCCAGTGCAGGTGTAAGCTCATCGGTGCTGCTTTCCAGTGTGGACAAGCCCTTAGGTTGCGTATGAAAATCCCTCACTCCGTGTCCACTTTGATGTTCTTCCACTGCATGTTTTAATCACTTCAGTGAAGCCCTGTCGGGGAGCTCKTTCACTGGAAGTTTTAGAGTGGAAATGTGTCTGTTCACTTCAGCACTTTTGCACAAAGTCGGTTGGATTTGGCTCCAATTCAAGTTCCTTTGGGACAGCATTCCTATGATTCTCTCTTGCAGAACAAGGACACCAAGTGCTGTTAGGAGGTGAATGATGTAAGCCTGAGCATGCAGGCAGGCCAAATGCAGACACTKGGCTTAGATTGTGTTACTGAAGGCACTTAAAGCATGTAAAGCTGCGCCCAACACCGAATGCTCTGCAGGGGTATCAGTTAAGAAGTAGTTTCTCATGTTTTCTCTCACCGTTCTCTTCCAATGCTTCCATTGGAAGCTGCACGTTGCAGAAACTAAGAGCACTGTTAGATGGAGTGTCGTGGTGCCCTTTATRTTCCCTTGTGGTGATTGCAGAAGTGGGAGCTTTTTGTTAGAGATGGTTGTTTCTGCAGGTTTTCATGTAGTGCACAAGCGAGTGCCAGGCTGTGCCAGAGGAAGACTGAGACGTGAGGTCTCTTCCTCCTCCTCCCAGAGCTTCCCTGCCCKCCGTATGGGGCTCTCTGGGGCAGTGAGCGGCAGCTGGGAGCAGGGCAGGCTCCTGGGAGCGTGCTGGACTTGCTGAGCTCGAGCCCAGCCCGTTTACGCAGTGGAGGCAAGGTAGATAGGGCCGACCTGCTGGCAGGCAGGGGCCGGCTGCAGCTTCAGGGGGCTGCCCACGGGGAGCCGCAGCACCTGTCCGGTTTGGTGGGCTGCCTCCTCAGGAGCTGCTGCCCCACCAAGTCTAGTCTGAGTGAAAGTCCTCACCGTCACCGTGACCCGTCTTAGGTCGGACCTGCGCATTTGGCTCCGTTCAGCGTAAGCGTGCACGAACGTGACTTTCTGCCTGCTCTGGGATCTTTAAGGACCAGGGCGAAGCCGTCCCTCTTTGGCAACTGTGGCACGTTGAGATTTGAGCCCGGCTTATTGGAAACAGAACCGAACCCCGCAGCGCTTCGCAGGGCGCGATGCTGCCGCGGGCCGGGGCCGGCGCCAGGCGGGGAAGCACGGCGGGGAGGAGGTGCGGCGGGAAGGGGAAGGCAGGGAGGGAGGAAAGAGGAAAAGAAAGAGAGAGAGAAAGAGAGAGAAAGAGGGGGGCAG